GATTAAAAGCAGAGTTTTCATTGTGCATCTAAACACACACACACACACACGTCTTCCTATCTTTGTGAGGACCACACACAGCGCTCAGCCTCGCTCTGCGCCGTCTTTTCCCCCAAGTTTGGCGAGAAGTGGATATGGAGGGTCGCAAAAAATAGCTCTAGACTTGATCTGGCCTTATTTAAATAAAAATGACTACATGCTGTGAAATTCTTAGAGGGGTGGGCCGTCTCATTGGCGGGGTGGGCTGTATAATGGTAGGAGAAACACTGGGATCAATGCAGATAGTCCATAGGGTGGCTCACCATAAAAAAACTAACACATTAGCACATTAACAGAATAAAGGTTGGGTCTCACTTCCCCACCAGGGACCACTTTTGACCACACCCCTTTTCCACTGTGACCGTCAAAGTTGCGGGTACAGGGACCTTAATTGCCAATTACTTTGCTATAAACTAGGGATGTCCCGATACAACTTTTTCACTTCCGATACGATACTGATACTGCAACTTTGAGAATTGGCTGATATCGATATTGACCTGATACCATATCAGTACGAATCACACACTTTTACCTATTTTGTAGTGTAAAAAACTTAGAAAAATCTTAATCAGGTCAAACAGTGAAAAAGAGTTGGTATGAGAAAAACTGACACATTTATTTTTAACCAATGGATCACATACATTTTAAACTGAAGAACATTCTACAGTTTAATAAATAAAATAAATTACAATACCCTGAAAATAAAACATAATAAAAACAAAATGTACTTTTAAAGTGTAAAATAATTCAAAATCACTCCAGTTATTTTTTTTAACATCTGTCAGCCTGGTGCTGCTTTATGGTGGGAATAACTGAAGGTGGGGACAAAACAAAACCCCGCATTATTGTCTGTTCAAAGTTAAGAGTGCACAGCTATAATTTTACTGACTGTGCTCAAAACGTCATTATCATTGCACTTAATCTTCACTCAAACAAGTGTGTAAACAGATTAAACCTCACTCTAATAACAAGAGCAAAAAACAAATAGTAAGAATTAGTCAGTTAATTAAATTGATAGCTACAGTACCTTTCTTACTGCTGGATTTCCACTTTCTACAGTCTGAGCATCATGTGGAGATTAGCCTCTCTCTCCAGCAGGATCTCTCCATGTCGCGCTCGTATTTCAAATCACAAGCTGTGCTCTCCTTTCTTCTGTCCATCAATCCCAGAGATAATCCACGGGCAGCACTCTGCTGATATCAAAACCATAAGCGTGCTGTCCTCGCTTCTGCCTGCTTAGAACCAGCGGATTGAGAGGAGGTTCTGCTCGGTTGGAACCATGGAGACACTTTTGGACCGAAGCCGAACTGAGTCGAACTGCAAAGGGTTGAGAGTAGTTGTCTCTCCGGTTTAAAACGTAAACGATTATGTGCCCCCACGAAAACTTGTGCGTGACAACTTTGCACTTAGCTTCAACTCTGTTTCTGATGAAAATAGAAAGTACTACTGACATTGCTCCTATTGCTAGCTACTTTGTTTGCGCAGCATGTTGTTGTGATCACATGAGCACTGCATGCTGGATCCAAGCACTGCTGGATAGAAACACTGGAGCGGAGGCAGTGAACTGCTGGAACGGATTGCTAATATCGGAGCGCTTGTATCAAACATTTTTTTATGCGGGCCGATAAAACCGATACTTGTTTTTTGGCTGATGTCGAACCAATATCCGATATTAATATCGGATGGGGACACCCCTACTATAAACCAACGAAATTTTAAAAACAGGATATCAGCAGATTTGTAATGATTAGCTCTTCGATTTACATGACATTTAGGGATGCAAGTTATCGATTAATGGGTTAATCTATAGTTGATTGATCTTATCGATGGACTAACGATTGATAAGCGGCCATTTTCCTAAAAACCTGACATTTCTCTTTCTATTACACGAAGGGCTAATTTTTTACACACTAAATAAAAAAGTACAGTATTGTTTTAACAATTCATTGTGCCAGCTGTGTGAGTAAACACTGACTGAATGAACAGAGAAATGTGGATTTCTCTCACATTATTAAACCTGGACATATTTATAAAATATAACCAAATAGGAATCTGTTAAGTTGCTAGTTGAAAAAAACAATGAAAGAATAAAACAAGAAAACACTTAATCCACCATGAAGATGAAAAACTATAATTTAAACACAGGGCGTTAATATTTTAAGATAAAGATTAACTCAAAAACAAACTAGAAACATAAAATATCCCTGAAAGATGTGAGACACAAATGATTACTGGAAATTGTTTGTTGTTTATATTCCCCCTGCTTCTATCTTAGCTGGGCTACACAGCATGATCTGACATCAGTTACTGTTCATTATTTGCTTTACTGGCCAGGTTATGTCACACATATTAGATTAAGTTCAAGTTAATATTTGCAGCGACTAACTTTTTTTTTCACACGAGTTAAACTCAACAAGAGGAAGCTAACGTTAGCCACAGTTAGCTTACCGTTCTGTCGTCCTGCTCTCTTGTCTTTAGCATCATACTGCTTGATGGTCTGGCACAGCCTTCAAAACTTTTCCTTCCAGTTTGGTGATTAGTCCATTATTATTGTTGTGTCGCAAACAAAACTAAATAAGACTTGYACGTTTGAGGTCCCGCCTACATTGAGACGGCCTCCTGCTTGGTTTAACAGGGCCTGGGTAGAGTAGCATCGCCCTCTGCTGGATGAAGTCAAAACTACACTGAAATAGGGTTTAAACGGACGTTTTCAATTAATCGAATGGAAGAAATTTTAATCTAATAAACCATTATTTGACGATTAGTCATAAGTTTAATAATTGTTAGCATCCCTAATGACATTCCATGGACTATTTCGCAGATACCGTTTAGCGCCGCCCACCGGAAGTGGCACGCAATGGTTTGTGGGATTGTTTGGGGGCAAACCAAAGAAAAGTAAAGATGGGACAGGCTTTAAAAGATTTTTTTATTGTTGCACATTTTAGAATGTTTAATTTGGTTCGTGAGGTACCAACTTCTAATCAGAAAAAGGACAAACTCGTGCACAACTTTTACCTGCTCAAATGTTGGAATTAGTGCCTAAAATAGCAACCTGGAGATACAAAATAGAGGCAAGGTCATACTGCTGTGCAATATTTTCACTCTTAATATAATGTAGCAATTACTAAATATTATATTATATCATCAGTCCACAGCACCTTATTCCAACATGAAGCTGGCTTGTCCAGATGTGCTTCAGCATACCTCAACCAGCTCTGTTTGTGATGTGGGCGGAGAAAAGGCTTTCTCTGCATCACTCTCCCATACAGCATCTCCTTGTGTAAAGTGTGCTGAATAGTTGAACGATGCAGTGACTCCATCAGCAGCAAGATGATGTTGTAGGTCTTTGGTGCTGGTCTGTGGGTTGACTCTGACTCTTCTCAACATCCTTCACTTCTGTTTATTCCAGATTAGTCTTGGTCTGCCACTTGGAGCCTACACTTGAACTGTGCCTGTGGTCCTCCATTTTCTCACAATGTCTCTCACAGTGGAGACTGAAAGAAATCTCTGAGATAGCTTTCTGTATCCTTCCCTTAAACCATGACGCTGAACAATCTTTGTTTTCAGCTCATTTGAAACTTGTTTTCAGACTCCCATGCTGCCACTCTTCAGAGAAGATGAAAAGAGGAGAAAAACTTACAATTGCCCCCCTTAAATACCCTTTCTCATAACTGGAGTCACCTGTGTATGGAGGTCAAGGGTCTCTGAACTTATCAAACCAAATTTGAGTTCCAATAATTAGTTATAAAGGTTTTGAAATCAATAAAATGACAACAGTGGCCAAATTAATGCACCTGCCTAATTTTGTTTAACCAATTATTGCACACTTTCTGTAAATCATATAAACTTCATTTCACTTCTCAAATATCACTGTTTTTGTCCCCTATATGATGTATTTAACTGATTTTTTTTATCCAAACAATCAATGATTTATAAAGGTAAATCAGGAAAATTAACAAGGCTGCTATAACTTTTGCATCCCACTGTATATAAACAACAGTAGTGATGGCTGGATTTTTTTTTCACTCAACGATCAGTGTTGTGTTGAGTGAGGCATCTGATGAGGGAAAACTTTTTTTTCAAGGTGATGGAATAAAAAACGTGAACAACTGCGTGCTCACGCATTCAATAGGATCAAATCAGCTGCTCATCAAAGATGTTTAACAACAGGCTTCAGTGAAAAGATCATTTTCAACAAAATTACTTGCAGATGATAGTCCTGTTCTGGTCCTGCTCCATAGCGGGGGATAGCAGCAAGATAGCAGACGAAAGTTACACAATTTTTTTGTCACTTAGCAGAGGAACAAAGACGTGCAGTCTGAAGTATAAACAGGCCTGCTGGTTTATACRGGTCGCCTGACATTACTCAATAATCTACAGACTTATGAGAGTTGGTGGGGCACTCTTTAATACAAACATATAAAAGAAGTCAATGCATGAACAGGACAAAAAACAAGCAACAAAAATAACAAACACTTTAACATTTTAAAAAATAAACATGTCAAAACTTAAATAAGACAGAGGCAAACAGTGATGACGTGAGTCCTGTATGAGAAACTGGTGTGCAAGACAAAATGAAGTGTGACAAACGAGAAGAAAAAAACAAACTGAGGAACTGATCCTACAAAATAAAACAGGTGAAGGTGCAAAACAGAACAAAAGACTAACAAAATGACAAAAAACCAAGATAACTTAAAACCGAGAACTGTTGGAAATCGTTTGTATTAAATAAAAACAAATCTTTTGAAAGCAGTTTTAACCAAGAACCTAATAATTTATTAACTTAAAAGATTTATTTTCAGTAAAATTGCCAAATTTTTATACATCCTTCATCCAAGTAAGGCTGAGCGGGCAACCTTTTATTTAATTAGAGGTATATTTACATTACACTGAGACTTGTTCTCATTATTAAAAGTGGCTTGATTATAGTTGCAAACATTCATCCATTCAAATACATACAGTACATCCCTTCTCCTCTTTTCTGTGTAGAGTTCAAGTTTTTATATTTTTATTGTGCCTTTTAGGATATTTTTAAGGTTTTTTATTGGCATTTGTATGTATGTATGTGTGTATGTACAGTATGTATGTATGTATGTATGTACTGTATGTATGTATATGTATGTATGTATG